ATAGTTGAAGTAAAATATTTTGCTTTGCATGTGTCACCTCTTTATTACTTTTTTAGCTCTTACTCCTCTTAGGAATTACTATACTACTTAATATTGATGAGGTGAATTTCGGCACTTTTCTTCAGATATGTGAGACAGTGCACAACAGGCTTCTTTTTCTGGGTAGATGTTTGATGAAGCAGTGTAGGTATAGTAATACTGCAAGTAGAAAAATGGTCAGCAGATAGAAGTCTCAGGCTGCGCCCAGACTGCGCAGGATGCTGACTCCACGCTGACCCATGAATCTTCACTTTCCAGGTACCTCTGGGCTTCTTTCTGCCACCAAGTCACAACCTAAAAGCCAGTCTTCTGCGAACTTAGGCACCAGTGGTTTAATGGTTCTTAGTAGATGTATGTGGGTAGTGACTAACAGGGTAGTGGATTTCAGTGGCTTTTTTTTAATTGCATTTTCAGAATGTCCTTTTCAATCTAATTCAAATATGAAGTGTCAAACAATAGAATACAGTCTTTTTTATTTTTTTCCGTAGAACAAACTTAGGAATAAATGAAAAAATATGTGTTTCAACATTTTGTGCTTTCATTTTTGCAGGATGTGCACCAGTAATAATGGTAATAATACAATAAATTTTGCATGGTATGCATGTATGTGTGTGCAAGCACGCACATAAGGGATTACTGCTGCATTTGAGCAATGTGACTTCCTTCCTGATTCTGCTTTTGGAGATAATACTGCTGAGGGGACTTTCAGATCTCTGGTTGTAAAATTCTTGATGATACAGTAATATTGTTGCTATTACCATTTGAAGAGAGAAAATTCTGGGGAGGTCCTCAGAGATTTGCCAGGCTGTAAGATGCTAAGCTCTAACTTACAAGTTCTGATAATTCTCTAAAGCATGGTCAAATGGGAATTCATCACTACTTGAAACATTTCTTTGCTGCTTTTAGGAGGCAGTTATTTAATTCTTTTGATTCATAGGTTGGGGTTTTTTTAATATCAAAGAATTAAAAAAAAAATCAACCACACTGTGTGCTTAAATCAGGAAATTCTTCTTTTTTTGCCAGCCACACCATCAGTGTTTCTCTAGAACACCACTCAAGGGTTATATTAGGATCATGGAATTTTTTTGGAAAGTCATTGTTTTTAAAAGATGAGGAGGGAAGGGTATTACTACTATTATTGAGATTGAGGTATGTTGTGTGGCCTTCAACTATCTGAGAAGTATCTTCCCATCTGATTTAAGAGAATTGATCCATGTCTTAACTAATTAAAGTGTGCAAAGGCAGCCAGCAGAAAATCAACCTCAGTTTAGTTGTTTCCCTCTGCAGTCCATTCTGCTGATCCCCTTCCTTGCCATTTCACCTTGGCTTTTTCCTTTATCAGTTAGAGGTATTCCTGGGATGGTGGTGGTAGAAGCAGCGATTAGCACAAGCTCCAAGGCATTCAGACCTCTCAGGACATGTAGATTTTTTTTAATCCACCCTTAGGTGTGTGTCTTTTCACCAGGTGAAACAGGGCCACTCAAGAGCCCTGTTCAGACTATTACCCAGTGTTGTTTCTGTTTACTGTGGTGATAGGTGAGATTTTAGGCATGTATTGCCAACTTGTATTTCTTAACTTCCTCTGTAATTGATGAGGCTGTAGAAGGCACAGTTGTTGGTGTTCTGTCAGTCAGTGTCTTCATCTTCTTATAATGCCAGTCATGAGATTTTAAAAGTCAAAAAAATATACAAAAATAATGAAATACGGGTTTGACTCAGGGCTGTAACAGGGATAGTTTTAAATCCCACTCCCCACCAGGAACAATGCTGTAACTCTTGCAGTTTTGCTTAGCTAACTCTGGTTATTCATAATGCCAATTTTTTTCTTGTTTCTCTGAAAGTAAATAGCATTGCTTGTTTTCTTCCTAATTATTTTAGCTTGGGGAGAAGTATCTGAGCAAATCTCTACTGACGTGCTTGTAAATGATTTTTATCACCATTAAGTTTTCACATAAACAAGGCTTTTTTTTTTTTTTCCCCCCCTCCCCTACAGAAAGATTTGATGCCACTGTTTGGAAAACAAACAGAAAAAAGCCATACTTGAAATTTTCTTTGTCTGCTTTTCCTGTCAGCAACCATACAAAAATATTTACTTTCAGCTCTTGATCATAACAGTCTAAGAGGAACTATTGATGCAAAGTTTTCGTGAGTTCCTGTACGTTGTGCTGAAAATGAACGTTTTCACTTCTTAGTAATTTTTGGGCAATCCTGTAAATTTTATTATTATCTGTCATTCATATTCTTTTTCCTAATTTTGTGCATTCTATGCTGGAAATTTTCCATTATTTCCTTTTCACCAGGTTACTTTTCATACTTTGACCCTGCACATGTGACACGATATAGTTAAAGAGGAGTAGAATTGTTGTCATCCTTGCCATTGGCTTAACCAAAAGAACAGCCTGTGGGTGGGCACAAGAAAGGAGTTTTAAGAATTGACCTGGGGAGGGGCAGACGAGGAAAATTTGAGTTGGCCTTCAGCAAGACAGAGAGAACATTTCATATATGTATGGGTAGTTACAGATATTTAATATGTGTATACAATATATTTTTCATATACATATTTACATGAAGATGTATATGCAACATATACTTTTCCATATACATAATTATGTGGAAAAGTATATAAAAATGCATATTGTGTGTGTATCTGCGTCTTTAGATCTCCAAGTATGATTTGTTACTGATCTTTGGATGACAGAGTCTTAGTACAGTGACATCCAGTTATAGAACTGCAAAGCTGAATAGATCCAGACTTAAGATTTAGATTCTTCTTTGTATTTGACTTTTGTTTTCCTACATACTGCAGTTTTTATAGACTCACTTCCACTGTGTAAATAATCTGAAATAATGCTTTCTCTATCAGGACACAGATTGCTTTACTGCTGTGTTTTCTTGTGTGTGAGTATCACGTGTGATACTGATTGCTAAATTTGCATTTGGGG